TGTGTGTGTGTGTGTGTGTGTGTGTGTGTGTGTGTGTGTGTGTGTGTGTTGTGTGTTGTTTGTAGAGCACTCCATCCTGACATGTTGATTACATTTACATTTTACGCCCGAGGCTCTCCGCTGGCGGTCTTATCTGGAGAGACTAGAAATGAGTTTCCCCTTGTAGAAAGAAAATTCAACGCGTCACCAAAATTACCGGAACACAACGACAAATGTCTGGAGTCAGAGGCACAGAGAGCTTTCTGTGAGCGGGTTCTCTGAATGTCAGCTTTCTCAGATAAGCTTTAAATTAATGTTTTTCAATCATCATATTTATTACAGATGATGGAACCAACTTCAGACCTTCACAAGGAATAATATAAACCTTGTCAAGGTCTAAAAGAAGCGTCCACCTCCCAGAATGAAATTGGAGATAAAGTAAAAACATTATATCATTTTTATTTTACAAATAAACAGCTGAGTTCATAGAGTTTCAGAAGAAGATGTGACTCTACTCTCCTGGATGTTTCACCGCAAGAGAATCCTGATAGTAAAAGCTTTATCAGTCTGAACATTCAGTGGAGCGGGCGATATTTAATCTTTGTAACACTCCACTGCAAATCTGTCTTCTGAGGATGAGGCACTAAAACTGTCTGTGGGTATGAAAAGTGTCTCTGGGAAGTTTTAGCTCAACAGTGTCTGTAGTGAACTTTAGCCTTAACACAACACTTATAATGTTTTAGAAAGAAGAACCAGAGATACAGCAAAAGAAAAGTGACTCCTGCATCACATGGTCGGTTTGGTTTGATGGTAAATTGCCAAGAAAAGCAACAGAAAAGTTAATGTGAGGATTTGTTGCCTGTCCTTGCTTTTAACTGTTTATCTATTCAAACTATGCAACATAACAACGTTAATGAACAAGGAAATACAAAAATAGCAATGGGGGCACTTCTCCAACTTTATCTGCTGATCATCTGTTATCATATCTCCTGAGAACACGTCTTGTATTCAGTCCAGTGTGTTTAATGGGTTCTGTGAGTATATACTCTCAAATATCCGCTTTTGTCTTTTTTACCATCATAAATTTGAATTTAAATTCACTTCATGCCTCCTGTCTGTCTGGTCCTATTTGCCTTCAAGCTCTTTTCAGAGAATTCGGTGGAGCCCGCTGCGTTCACAACATCGTGAAGTACCGCCAGTGCCGGGAACACGCCCTGCTCATCATCCAGCAGCTCGTGCTGTCGCCCAGCGGCGACGACGACATGGGAACACTGCTGGGCCTCATGCACTCTGCACCGTCCAGTGAACTGCAGCTGAAGACAGACATTTTGAGGGTAACCACACTACACCTGTTTGCACAGTTGTGACAGTCATCGACAAACATAACCAAACCCTAACTGTAACCCGTCAGACCTTGAGGCTGCACTGTCACAGATCTCAATGAAAGTTGGTCACATAAGAAACCAGCAGGACTCTGAGGTCACAGAGGAACGGTTCTTATATCGTCTTAAAGCTCTAATAACACTTGTGTAAGTTTGGCACGTGGACGTCAGCACAGACGTTTTCTCAACACAGAAATAATTCTGTAATTTTAAAATCGATGTACATTTAAAGCCCTGCATATAGTAATTGCTTTAAACCAGGGACACAGAGAGTTAGGTTCACACACACACACACACACACACACACACACACGCCGAACACACACAGACAGGATGAAAGGATGGCGGCTGATTTCCTAAAACATAATTGCATTTTCAAATCTCAAACTCCTTCACATGAAGCAGTTCTCACGCCTTCTGAAGGTTCGTGCTGGATTAACCCGTCAGCATTTTGCTCCTGTTTCACTAATCAGAGATTTTAATTATCACCCTGAAAACCCCCCCCCCCCAAGACTACAAAGAACTTGTATCAAATTCAGTTAGAGGGGTAAAATCGCTTTTTCCTCGCTCTTCATCTGGGGTTTATGTTGCCGACAGTAACACACAAATAGATCTTAAAATTAAGCTGATTAGCCTTGTGAAAGTGCACATTTAACCCCGTCTAATCCAGATACGTTGCATCTAATCCTCGGCTGTGGGATGACGTGCTGGTAGAGTTAACACCTACCAGCACGTCATCACACAGCCGGGTGGTAACTTCCCAGCCTGGTGGACAGAGAGAGGATTTTTTTCAACATCCTGTGATTGATTTAAATGAAAAAACGCTGACTCTATTGTCATGCAGCAGGAAACCGGCGCCTCGGTGTTGTAACGAGTCTCTGTTTTTACTTCTCTCTTGTTCTTCCCCTCGCTCACCCTCCGCTGAAGGAAGCTTAACTCGAGTTACTCCGTTTGCTGATGTGATGTCGTAATGATAACTGAAGTCATGGCTCCCTCTCATGCTGTGTTTAGGTCCCCAAACTCATATGTGGGTTTGATGTTTCCATTCAGGTTACTTGCAAATTGTGAGTCGTAAAAGTTAGAAAACTGTGGAAGAGGGGAAAAGAAAAGCGGCAAGCCAGAGAAACCCTGAGGGGCTCGTAGATACTGTATGTCTGCACTGCAGGAGAACGAGAGAGTTGATGAACAGAACTTTGACTGAATGAGGTGACGGAAACCAAACAACGTGAAAACTAACAAAAAACGCAGACATTTATTATAAATCATGTTCTCTGGGGAAAATAAACCAAAACACTTGATTTCCTCTCAGTAAATGTGTTTTTGTCTTTTTAAACACCTCATTATTTATGTTTGTAGAACTTGAGGAAACTTCACCTGCCTCTCCTCATGTCTCCTCTTCAAGGCTTTGCTGGCAGTGTTGCGTGAGAGTCACCGCACCCGGACGGTGTTCCGCAAAGTGGGCGGCTTCGTCTACGTCACCTCACTGCTGGTGGCGATGGAGCGCTCCCTGTGCCAGCCGCCGCGACACGGCTGGGAGCGCGTCAACCAGAACCAGGTGTTTGAGCTCCTGCACACAGTCATCTGCACGCTCACCGCCGCCATGCGCTACGAGCCCGCCAACTCGCACTTCTTCCGCACAGAGATCCAGTTTGAGAAGCTGGCGGATGCTGTGAGGTGAGGCCCGCCCACACACTTCCTGTAACACCTGAGCTCTTCTTCTGATTTGTCTGAATCGCAAACCGTCGGCATGTTTTGTAACGACTGTGTCCTCCTCTCATCAGGCTGCTCGGCTGTTTCTCGGAAACGAAGAAGCTCGGTGCCACGACCGTGTTCCCCTCGAACGCTCAGCCTTTCCAGAGGCTGCTGGAGGATGAGGCTGCCCCCGGAGGCTGCGCGGGGGACAGCGTCTGTCCTACGCTCAAACACTGCAGCAAGCTCTTCATCTACCTGTACAAGATGGCCACCGACTCTTTCGACAGGTCAGTGGTTTACAGAAGCTGCGCTTAATCGCAATGACGCTTTAATAATGATTTGAGTTGGTATAAAATTCCTCTTGACACACAAGCAATCAAGGTTTTACATAGATTCTTACAGAATGTAGGGTTAAACATGCACATAGCTGCCGTCTCTCTCAGTATCTTTCCGTCTCCAACCAGCACATGTACATGAATGTGCCGCTGTGTGCATATCGCACCGTAAATCAGGCCTGAAGGGTTAAACAGAGGCGGCCGTCTCTTCGCGTCTGTTCAGGCCATTCAGCTAACGTATGAATAAGGTAGAAGCATCATGGTGGACAAGTTATTTATTCATTGTAGGCAGTTAAATAAGTGAACAGTTTGTCGTTACTTAAAGAAGATGTGCCTGGAGTTCAGCGGGGTCTTCATGTAGAAGTGAAGCAGTCTTCAGCAGGTTGTATCCACATGTTGGAGAACATTTCAACGACCCTACAATCCTCTGACACGTTGGAGTGTTTAACAAAACCCCCAAACTTTTCTTTTTCCTGTGAGAGGCGGTCAACTCCCTCCCGACCTAGTTTGAATCACGAAACAAGCCTCTGTAAACATTTCTTTTTTAAATTCAAAGTTCAGGATCTAATTTATTGAGCCGAAGGGGAATTAGTATTTTCAAGTGACCTAAAAAACAGTTTCGACTTCAGCAGAATTGCTGAGGCGAGGGAGAAATCTCTGCTGTTCCCCAGATCTGAATGTGTTCACCTGATTTTTTGAGTATTAGTTTCACTCGTGTATAATATAATAATAGAACATTCAGGTAAAGCGAGAGCGGAGGCTGATCTAATGAAATAAGCGTTTCAAACAATTAAGGTCTGGGATTAAATTCAAGTTGTGTTGAGACTGTTTTTGTTTCAGTGTTTCTTTTCCTCTGTGTGTTTTCATCACCGGGAGGTCACGACCGAAATCAGTGTCTTGCAGAACGAGGTCGTCGTCACTGCACCGCACGCTCAGGCACATGTGCAGTTCTGGCTGGTGCCGTGCTCCAGCTGTACCTCTGATCCTGTTTCCTCTGTCAGCTCTCCACTAACAGCTTCTCTTAATCTTTTCCCTTTCTCTTTTTTCTTCCTCTAACCTCTGGCACTGTCTGGCTGTTCATCCTCGGTCTGGTCCATCTGCACGGCTGCATGTGTGGGTGTGTGTGTTTACGTATGGCCTCACACATCTGGGTGTGCATGCTTGTCTTTCTGTGGGTTTGTGTGTGTGTGTGTGTGTGTGTGTGCGCGCGCCATGCAGTCGTGCGGAGCAGGTGCCTCCCTGCCTGACTCACGAGACCTCGCTGCCCTCCCCGTGGGGTACGCCAGCACTCGCCAGGAAGAGGTAGCTACAGCGCTCTGCCACTTTTGTCACCCTCATCCCTTC